AAATGCCTTGGTTGGATATTTATTAGTTTGGGCTTTCTATTTTTTTTTCCGTACCTCGCGCTCAATACCTCAGTGATGCCTATAATATTTGAATATCATGAAATGAATCATACATGATCCAAAATCCTAATTATCATATTGTAAAAAAAATAAATAAATTTTTAGTCAACAAATTTAAGTTAAATTTCTTTTTTATCAAGTTTAAATTAAAATTTTTGTCCACGTAAAAAGTTTGTTTCAATCTCTTAAAATCAATAATAACATAAGTTGAATAAGTGTGTATGATCTAATAAAAACATTAATAGATGAATATGTCTTACGACAAATTTAATAATAATAATAAATTTCTTATAGATTCATTAATAACATTAAGCAAAGAGAATAAAATAGTTTTTTCTTCAAATTACATAGACTATAACAAAACCAATTTTAAATTTAAAAAATAAAAAACTATTACCTTCTATTTAAAAACTAAAAGCATGTCTATTCTTATATTATCCTCACGTTCGTAAATAGATTTTTTCAAGAGAATTACTTACTTTTACCTTTGAAACGCATAACTAAGAGGAACCAAGTAAATATTTTACCTTTACGTGGATGAAATCAAAATAGAAACACGTACCTGTTTCAGACACTGCCCATCTAACATACACATCTTGTCCACCATCTTCATTCACTCTTAAATCCAACAAATCACCGAACCAAATCACACAGCCACTACCTCCTTCACCAATGTCTGAATTCGCATAAGCCGTGCATGAACAATTTTCCCAACATTTCACCCTACACTCCTCAAGCGTCATACTTTCATTAACCCACGACAACTTAGTATCTGGTGCCTTCATTTTACTGAATTTGTGAAAACCATCCTTATTCTTTTCCCAACACCTCCAAGTTTGGTTATGCACGCAACCCTGATCCCAGTTCATCTTGGTCCAATTCTGCACCGATTTGGGCCTGAACCCATCCAAACACTTGCACGCACCAGCAACACAAATTCCAAACGCGCCACAAATATTATAGTTGTCGCATGCATCACCTGGCAACTGTGAAGACACCCTCCACGCTTTACTATCATTGATCCACGTCAAGCGTTGACGAACATAAAGCGATTGATTCATTACAATTCTTGAAACCACCGACTTATCGTTCATGCTATATGAAAGGTAAACTTGTTCCTTGTTGGTGACAAGCGTGTAGTTTATTACTGAATTGTAGGGAAAAGAACCGTTGAATCTATAGGCAAAGACCTTCATTGGACCGCTTCTATAGAACTCTTTTGGGCCCTTCCACATAACCTCTTCTGGATAACTGGTAAGTGCAATAGCCCATGTGAAATCCCCAGGAGAAGGGTCATCCCAGTTTTTCCAAGCTGCTACGCGTCTATTAAGGCCTGTTTTTGAATCCCACCCTAGTTTCATTCCAGGTAGAATTGTGTCTGAAGGGTGGTCAAAGCTTTGCCACAAGTAGTTTTCAGGGTTCGTGTCTTTCTCATCTCGTAGGACAAAGTTGCCTGAGTCCAACAACTGTGCCACGACAAGGATCGCTTTTGTTGTTGTTGTTGTGTTTGTTGACCAAATAACTTTGTTGTTGTTCTCGTTTAGAAGTACGAGGTTGCCTTGTGTGGTTATGCTCAGCTTGGTGGAGTTGTCTTTGATTGGAGTTTCGCGGTTCGCAACCCAAACCACGGTTTTGACTGGTATGGTTTTGTACCAGATTCCTAGGTAGCGGTTTGGAGAACTACTACCTGGGGTGAAGAAACCCAACTCGAAGGTTCCATTTTCGGAAACCAAGGTTGTGTTATCTTCAAGTGACTTAAACTGGGTAATAGTATCGGTTGCAGCTGAAAATCTAGAGAAGAAAAAAATTAGCTTGGTAATGGCAACAACAAGCATAATAGGAAGAATGGCCATTTTACCTTAGCGTTGGTTCACGAGTGGTCGAGTATATATTGATCGTTAAATGTGTGTGAGTTGAAGTTCACTGTTTGACTTGGTCTCATGCGTGTTCCATTAACATTTACTTGTTTAAATATCTAAAAAAATTCCCATTGAACACAATTATTGGAAATTTGGAATTATCATTTGGGATTTTGGGTAGATACATTTAGTTTTGAATATATTGTTAGTAACTTTCAGAAAAAGAAAAAGAAAACATTATTAGTTATATTACACTTGCCATCTCTTCGCAGTAGAGTTGTTCCTTTCGAACGTCATTTTTGTGTTTTAGTTTATAAGTAGTTGACTTATCTTCAGGTTCAGATGATTTATTTATTTATTAGTCAATTTATTTGTCGTATTTAAATGCCTATGTTAGAATTGTTGCATTGCATAATCATACTTTAAAGCTTTGTTCAAATTAGTTAGAATATTGACTTAGGTTTAACATAAAATAAAAAGATTAGAATCGTGTGAATGATGGTTAATTAGATGTTTGCGTGCCTGAATTGTGCAACTGGCCGGAGCAGGGAAAGA